CCCTAAAAACGCACTACTTAAAAAATATCATATTTTTAAATTTTTAATGTTTTTTTGCAATTAATTATTTCCTACCTAAGTAAATTTGTATTGCAAATAATATTATTAATGCCTACTCTCCTCTGTTTGATCTTCAATGTTTGTAATTCCATGTTTTTTCTCGTAGCTTTACTCCTTGACCCTCAAAACGTAAGTTTAATGTAAAAATTTGTAATCTATACTATTATATAAAAATCTAATGGTGTCTCTCTGTATGTGTGTTACTAATAGGTGCAAAAACTACTAAACCAACTGGGCTTAAATTTTACAAAAATATAGCTACCATACCAAGGACCATTATAGGACTATTCACATTTCGATACTGACCGTAGGCTTTGCCCCTTTGGCTTTAAAAGCTCTGAGGTGAACATTTTAAAAGTAAATATTGATAGGTCTCCATGGCTGCGATGAAAACACTAACAATGTTTGTTTACATTTGCTTTGAAATTTAAATGTAAACAAAAAGAACTGCTAAACTGCATATATCACTGTATATTTCAGACAGCTGATACAAAGAAATTAAATATAATATTTTCCATAACTATGAGGTAGGTTTATTTTGGGAACGCGCCAAGGCGCCACCACGTCAACCCGCCACCAAGTCAACCCGCCATCAAAAAGAAGAAGAAGTTTGAGGTGGCGGGTTGGCGTAGTGGCTCGTTGTCTTGGTGGCACGTTGACTCTAGCGTGCACGACAACCCGCCACCTCGGAAAAATGTGTGGTGGCGGGTTGTCGTGGTGGCACGTTGTCCTGGTGGTGCTTAGACATGTTCATACACGTCAACCAGCCTCCTCTTTAGTGTGGTGGCGGGTTGAAGTGGTGGCTGGTTGACGTCTACGTGCGAGGTGGCGGGTTGACGACACCGAACATTGAGCGTACACGACAACCCGCCACCTCATAAAATAGTGATGGCGGGTTGACGTGGTGGCACGTTGTCGCTTACATGCGAGGTGGCGGGTTGACGAGAGTTAACATGGGGTACACGACAACCCGCCATCTTTGTTGGCAAAAGCCGCTGTTGTCTGTGTATTATAAAATGCATCACTTTTTGCAGTTTACCTGGACTTGTGTTATCTAGTTTACTGTTAAGTTAACTAGACATTAGTTATTGTGAATTCATTAATTTTCGAATCGTTTTCCTAAAAAGATTTGCCATAGACATAAAGTACACGCGCATCCACGCAAGACAATTTTTCCTTTTAATCAACGGTTATTGTTTAAAAAAAATTTTTGTAAGATAAACTCACTACAAATTAACGACTTAGGGTCATTCTAGAATTAAAATAACAATATATGTTATGTTTTCGCATATTTTTATTGACAAAAACATGAAACTTTAATAATTTTGAAAAATAAGTTATTAGTTTCTTAGGATTTTTTGTAGGTGCATAGGCCCTACCTGGTATAATACCCATACTTATTTTCTTTTTTTTACTGCTGAAGCTTCAGTACCTAACTCAATGTCATTATTAAAAAATCATAGTTTTGTGGCAGATGTTTCTAATAGTTTTAAGTTTAAATGTATTAATGTTGCTGATTTGTCTAAAATTGTGTCTTCCTTGTCTTGTAAAACTAGTAAAGATCATCATAAATATATAAGTTTTTATGCGTGCGCACGTGGTGGTAAGTGCGCATAAAAACTTATATATTTATACGCCTAATAAAAAAAATTGTTTATTCACTGGCAATTAAGTAAAATAACTATTCTATTTTTGTTTTTGGTATACGTTTTTATCATCTCATATTAATACGCGAGGACTGTGTTTTGTGAACACTACTCCTCCCTTATTCGTGGACAAATTTCAACGTTTAGGGTGTTAGTGTTAAAAGATTCGACCAATTCGTAGTTTTGCATTAAGGTTTTAGAATTTGAAAGTTCCTACCCTTAAGGGCGTGAGACCCTTTCAAATGACGGGTTTTCACCATGTTAATAATTGAATTACCTATCAATCTTTCTTCCGAAAATAAACTAAAATGTCCAGAAATGCTATTTAAGAGTTAGGTACATTAACTTTCTCTAAATTAACTGAATCAAAGTACAATATATTTAGTGCTAAAGAATATAAATCCAACCGATTTATTTATTGATAAATCCAACCGCGAGGTGGTGGGTTGTCGAGGTGGCACGTTGTCGCCTATGAGCAAGGTGGCGCGTTGACGGCACCGAACACTGAGCGTACACGTCAACCCGCCACCTCGTAAAAGAGTGGTGGCGGGTTGACGGGGTGGCACGTTGTCGCCTACGTACGAGATGGCGGGTTGCCGACATCGAACATGGAGCTTCACGACAACCCGCCACCTCTGATAAAAACTGGTGTTGGCGGGTTGTCGTGGTGGCATGTTGTCGTGGTGGCTCATTGACTTGAGTGTGTACGACAACCCACCACCTCGGAAAATTGTGTAATGGTGGGTTGTCGTGGTGGCCTGTTGTCGGGGTGGCGGGTTGACCTGTACGTACACGTCAACCAACCACCTCGGTTTTTTTGTGGTGGCGGGTTGACGCCTCTGACCAAAACACCGAGGTGGCGGTTTGACGTGGTGGCGCATTGACAGCGACCCGTTTATTTTAATGTAACCTTTTATCATGGATTATTTATTCTAAAACTGTGTCAATGATTATATAGAAAAAAACTGATTCTATAACCGTTGCTGTATCAACTCCGGCTGTGCTTTGGATTTTTCAAAGCGTCTAAGTTATGAAAATAATGTTATTAAAATGGTTTCATGGAAACAGTATGAAAATTACAATGTATAGATGTTTTGTATGAATTTGGAGGCTACTTTAAATAAATCCTAACTACTTAACATGTGTTAGATTAACTTAACATAACTTGCACATCACATTGTTTTTATATGTATATTTAGGTAAATTAAGTTATTGTGTTTTGCTAAACCTATGCTTAAATTTAACTAAAGAATATCATCAATAACTAAATTGTACATCGTTGATTTTTGTTTTCTAAAATCTGTTGTATATGTGTAACCAAATTTAATTATCAAATGGTAATACAAAATACTCGTATTTTATCTTAACATAGCTTTCAGTTCACATTTACTTTATTTGATACTTTTATTATTTGTGTTTTGCCACACCACTGATTAAATTAAACCAAGGAAAATATCATACAACTAAGCAGTACACAGTGTTCTTTAGTTTCTAAAGTAATGAAATATCTGTTACTATGTTTACTTAATGGTAAGTGTGAAAATGTAAAGGCAATGGACGATGGAACTGATTAAAAGAACTGGTTTAAGATGTTTGTTAATATTTTTGTAGAGTAGAATCAGAGATGCAATGAAACATATATTGCTTTGATAATCATATTAGTTTTGTCTGCTGTCTTTAATGCTAAATTATTTGTTTAACCTTTTTTATAGTACCTCTAGATATAGTTTCTTTAATATTTCAAAAGACTGTATTGATAAGGCACAGCAATATTCCTAAAGCTTATAACAGCTTACTTAGTTTTGCTAATGATTTGTAAGTGAAGAAACTGAAGATGGAAGAATTTGTGATTTAAGAAGAGTGAAATTAAAAAAAATGTTCATTTAAATTTAATAATTAGTATTTTTGCAACTTCCAAATTGAAATTTAAAATGTCAATAATAAATTAAAAGATATGTTATTAAGGGAGATGAAGGTAAATCGTGTATGTCAAAGTTGTATTCAAAGATTTGGTCAGTTTTTCTCATATAAGCCTACACAAGATTTAAAATTAATCAAAACCAAAATGGTTGTATCCACTACTTACCAGATTTAAAAGTCATAACTTAAACGTTTCTATTAAGGCTATAAAAGTTGAATTTTGTTTCTAAAAGCATTGGCGGATGTGTAACTGTTATATGCAACAGATGTAAAGATTAAAATGTTTCTATTTTGTGTCCTCTTCCCGTTGCAAAGCACGGGTAGAACAGCTAGTTATTTACTAATTTTACGAACTAATCTACTAATGACGACTAAAATCAGCTAGGGGCCCGCTAGGCGAATGTTTTTATTAGGCCCCTAGGCTAGGGGCCTAATAAAAACATTCGCCTAGCGGGCCAAAAGCCAAAGGAAAGGCGAATGTTTTATATGGTTTTATCTATGGTGATACAAATCAAATATTTTATTCTTCGGTATTTTACGGTCGTGTAGCTCTGCCCTGCTAATAAAGAAGGCAGTAAGTGCAAAATTTTCGATTTTCAGATTTTGTTGTAATTTAAGGTTTTTGGGGTCAGGGATTCTGAAAAACACACTTAAAAAGCCGCATCTACAACCGTTTCTGAGATATGACAGGTGTATATTGCAGTATATACATCATTTTTCAACAGAATCTAAGCTAAAAGGCAGTATCTATAAAAGCTAAGCAAGAAAGGCAGTATCTGCGATGTAGATACTGCCTTTATGCTTAGTGATGTACATCACGTACTGCCTTTTTGCTTAGCATTATGGGTACAAATGAGGAACTAAAAGCAGTTTTTACCAGCTGAGATTATGTTGTTGTGTTTGTGTTTACACTGTTGTTTGTAAATATGAAAATGGCTAGTAGTAGTTAGATACTGCTTTTTAGCTTAGGGTCCTCCTATTAGCACTTACTAGCTAAACAAAATGGCAGTATGAGCAGATGCTGCCTTTTGGTTTAGCATGAACACAAATATTTCTAAGGACAAAAGCAGTATGTGCATTTTTATATTGATCCAGTTTAAAAAATTTATTTTTTATAGTGTCAATTGAATATTTAGGCCTAAGCATTACCGAAGATAACAAAAAATATTAGTTTAGTCTTCACATGTGTTAGGGCAATGGCGGCAAAGTTGAGGTAATTTTCTGAAAATATTCACTTTTGCACATACTGCCTTCTTTCTTAGCAGGGCAGAGCTGTAGCCTGCCAAAAAGTACCGAAGTATTTATGACGTCCTCTTTAGTTTTTAGGCTTCTTCTTCTTTACTTTTACCACCTAAAACCTAAACCTAACCTCAATCCTCAATTTTATTGAATCAAAACTCACTAACTCACGGACACGATAGATATAACATGAAGAAAAATACTACATCAAGAATCAAGATAAGTTAAAGACTAGAACAAGATAAAACACAGTTACATTGCGCTAATTCACTTTGTTGTTTGAACAGCAGGACTTTAAGTTACTGTGATATAGCTGACTACATAGTTTAATTCTATCGGTAACATGGCTGAGGCTCCTGACCCTGATAAAGTGTCAACTGAAGTTTCTAAAGACAAGAAAGATGAATCTAACAAAGAATTCTCAGAAACTGTCAAGGTAGGCCTATTTGAATCTCTAATTTTTTAGCATAAAAATATCCAGGCCTAGTCTAGTCATATAGGCCCTAGGCATGGGTTGAGGGCCCTCCACTAAGGCCTAGCTTAACAAATCAACCCATACATTTTAGGATATAGGCATACGTCTAATCAATGATGTATTTATTTATTATTTTGATTAATTAATTATTTTATTTTTAATTAGATTAAGTACCGTACCGGTAACGTATTTGTTAATTAGACTGGGACGTTGACGTCCTCATGTAATCCAGTCACTAGGAGGTCACGTATTGTGTAAATATCAGGCATGCACTATGGATGTGATATTCCCTGGTGTGGACCAACGTCCGCACTAGTGAGTACTACGACTATCCGCAGTATACTATTCTGGGGTACCGGTACAGTTTCTTAACTAGGCTAGCCCTCCGAGTGTTAAGCGTCGCGTAATCGACGCATAACACACCCGCCGTGGTGTTATGCCTCGCTTAAGCGACACACAGACATTGTTTACGGCGAAGGCTCTGGGACTGACTGAATCAGATTGAACTGGATCGACATTGGTATTGTTGTTTTTGGCAGATTCTGAGCTTTCTCCTGATGTCCGTTTCTAGACGCTTTTCATCAGTGGCGGTTCTAGGACCTTGGCAAGGGGGGGGGGGCTACCGGGGGGCTTGGGGGGTGTGGAGCACCCCACAATAATGCAGGGGGGTCCGGGAAAATTTGGAATTTTCAAAGCCGTTTGGTGATTGTTTAAAGCCATTTTCAACACCTGAAACCGTGTCCAATTGTCCATAAGCTCCCATTTCACCTGTTGTTTGTCATGAGCAAATTTAGACATTTTAAAATAAATTAAACTATGACGATTGCATTCATGAATTTCAAAACACACTGTAGACTACGGCCATATCCTCTTAAAAGCAGTTGGGTGACTTTCTACAGCCAGTTTTAACGTCTAGAACTGTGTGCAAAACTTCCGATTTCCCCATTTATTTGTCATGAATAAGTAGAAATTTTTAAAACTAACTATGAAGATTGCATTTATAAATCTCAAAACATATTGTAGGCTACGGCCATATTTCCCTAACAGCTGTTTACTAACTTTCTAAAGCCATTATGTCTATATCTGTGTCCAACTGTCCAAAAACCTCCCATTCCGGCCATTTCACCTGTTATTTTTGTCTTTGTTATGAGCAAGTAGACATTTTAAAAATCAAACTATGACGAACTTGCATTCATGAATTTTGAAACGTAGGCCTATTGTAGATTACGAAGCCATATCTCCTAAAAGCAATTTGGTGACTTTATAAAGCCATTTCTAACGTCTAGAACTATGCCCAATTGTCCTAAAACCTTCCATTTCACCTGTTATATGTCATGAAAGCAAGTAGACACTTTTTAACATTATACGTTTTTCTCCATTTCATAGATCTGCCACAATTATATAGTATCGAATTCAGTAATAGCATTGACTATATAAACTTAAACACTAGTGTTTATATATTCAATTGTAATAGACTACTTGGTGCTACGATTGATGTCTATGTAAAGTTAGTGGCTAGCAGACAATATGACAACGAACTATGTAACATCAGGAAATCAGCTGTTTCCCCGTCCTCGCTCGCGCGCTCGCCTTTGCCCTAGCGTGTCAACAGGTGACTGCTGTAAAGGTTGGATGATGCGTACAACACTTTCTATAGCGTGATATTGTTTTATTCGTTGTGCTATATTGTCCAAAAAGTTTACCTATATGGAACTTAATACTACTCCTGTCATCGCTTATTAAGTTTAATAAAAACTACATTGATGTCTGTTTAATGACATTGCGTTAAGGACAAAATGTACGTTTAAATTTTATTTTTCCAGGGCCAAGGGGGGGGGGGGCTTTAGCCCCTGTAGCCCCCCCCCTTGGAACCGCCACTGCTTTTCATTTTAGTTCTGAAAATATTGTAGCAGACAGCTGATGTGCGTATTTGTAAACAACTTGGTTAACCTCGCACCGATGACTGATGTGTTTTATTACGTTTATCATTGTTTTAGTGTTAAAAATCCAAAGTAGTGATATACGTGGTGTATTATAAGAAGATTTAAGTAATTTTGAAGGGCTGGTTGATGATCCTGAAGAAGTAGGTAGCCTAGTGATATTTATGTAAATTATCAGCCAGATTCCTAGCAGCTATGGTTAGGCTATGCATTCTTAGCTTAATGTATGTACGAAATCTGTTTTTATGCTAATAACTTATTTATTTGCAAACCTACTTCCTTATATTACTACTTACTATATTTTTGGAATCCTCATAAAATTTTGACCAAAGTGGCTATACCGTATTTTAAAATATTTGTAGACCTATAAATTATAACAATTTAACTTATTGAGCGCAGACATAAGTTACATTTTTTTTCATTTATTTTATAATTTTTGAGAAATTTTAACCTACAAAAATTGTTGAACATTTTTTGTAATGTTTTATATGTTACATTGAAGCCCATAATTTTCCAAACAAAATGATATATAAAACAGTACTGTATACTTTACATTGTTTTTAAGTTTCTAAGATACATTTTAATAAAACCCCGCGATTGCGCAATAAATGGGCGGACATTAAGACCAATACTATGGACACTTGGAGGGCTAGGGTATGCTATTGAATTGAAAGTATCGTTTAGTAATCAATATTTTTACTAAGTTAGGGGCCGGGCCTATAATCAATAATAAAATTAAACTGTCATAACCTAACCTAACCAACCAATCTTGCTGATAGTGAAAAAATCGAATGAAGGTTTACTAATCGAATCGATAGTTTTAATCGGTATTAGCATAGCCCAGTTAAGAAAAGGTAGGCCTACCCCTTTTTTTGATAATTAGACCAATTCGTCAATTAAATTACAAGCAAAAATGTGGTTTGGAGTCCACTTTAAACTGTAGGTCCCTTAGTTGCCACCATTGGCTGTATGGGCTATTAATTAACAGCTCAACAGCTGTGTCTAAGAAATATGTCGGCCTTAGTTACCCTACTAGGGAACAAGACTAGGCTACATGATCGCGCCACTCATCTCCATCATACTTTGGCTTAAAATAGGCCTACCTACTTTCGTATGGTCTACATTTCAAAGTAAAGTAAGTTATTAAAGTCCCTATCAACAACGTATTAAACTAGGTTCGCATTTTAACCCAAATATGAGTGAAGGTTGAGTAGTGAATAATGAAGTGATGAAGTGAAGATGCCTTGTGTTTAGCTTTAACTTATTAACCTACTGACTAAGACCATCTTATTACCATGCTTATTACCATGTCTTCATCTTTTACCCAATAAGGGATTGATGGCGTCAGAATTTCAATATATACAAAAATACATAATAACAAACTGAATTTGAGTAGATACAAACATATATTTACAATAACTTTGGCATGTGGATATGCGGTTTAGCCAGACAATTCAGGAAAACTATCCTCAAAAAAATCCTTTAGAGAGTAGTACGCTCTTGACTTAAGGAGAGGGACGAGCTTCTTCATGAAAAGTTTACGCCCAAGACGCTTGATCGAGTGAGGCAGCTTATTAAAAATTTGAATTGCCACTGTATTATAGCTCCTTTGCGATCTTGCAAGCCTAACCCTAGGCACATCCAGTAGCTCGTGCTGCCTTGTTTGGTGGTTATGAAATGCTGAACGGAGTTGGAGATTGTCGTAATTGTCATATACCAGTAGTGAGCAAGCCAGGATATAATGGCTGTAGACTGTGAGGATTCCCAATCTTGCGAAGATGGGTTTACAGTGGGCAATGCGGTCACTAAAAGTAATGAGTCTTACAGCACGTTTTTGCAGCACTAAGATGTCCTCAACATCCGCAGCATGGCCCCATAGCAGTAGGCCATAGCTCACATGGCAGTGGAACATAGCATGGTAGATGTTCAGCAGGTATGGCTGAGTGATGAAATTTCGTAGCTTGAGCAGCAGGCAACATACCCTAAAAAGTTTGCTACTAACTTTGCTGATGTGATCGTTCCACGCCAACTTCCTATCCAGATGAAATCCAAGGAGCTTCACTGGCTCGTCCCGTGGGGCATTTCTCGCCAGACTGCAGACCAGTGCCTGGGTTTTATCCTGGTTGAGCTGGAAACCATTTCCTTCAAACCAGCGGGATGCTTCAGTGAGATGCCGGTTTGCATCTGCTGTGGACAGCTCAACTTGGGGTCCCCGTGATATCAGGGTTGTATCGTCGGCAAAGAGCACCACCCCTCCATCTCTATCAAGGTCGTTGATCATTACAAGGAATAGTAACGGGCCTACAATCGATCCCTGAGGAACACCGTACCTGACACTTTTGGGCTTAGATGTTGCACCCTCAACGGAGACCACCTGCTGTCTTCCCGCCAGATAGGAGTCGATCATCCTCAGTGCCACGCTACCTACTCCTAAACTCCTCAACTTTCCATTCAGAAGATCATGATTGACACAGTCAAAAGCACGACTCAAGTCACACATTGTGAGAGTCACTGTATCGCCAGCCTCGAAGGCTTCACCAACCAAGTCAGCCAACCTCTTAATTGCTCCAGTGGTGGACCTACCTTTCCTGAAGCCGTACTGCCTATCTGATATCAAACTGTTTGTCTCCAAGTACTGTGTCAGTTGTGATGATATTACGGCTTCAATGACTTTGCCCAGAACCGGCACTATGGAGACAGGCCTGTAACTAGTAAGGACGTCTCGATCTCCCTTTTTGTACACTGGCACAGTCCTAGAGGTCTTGAGGCATTGGGGGAAAACACCATTTTTCAGGGAACTATTTATAACAATGGCCAGAGGAGCAGATATAACATCTATAACCTTCTTCAACCAGGATGCCGACATTCCATAAAAATCTGGACTATTTGAGTTCTTAAATTTAGCGACAATACACAAAATCTCTGCTGAAGAGGTAGGTTGCCAGTGATGCAGGGCAGAAGTGTGCAATCCCCCCCCGGCCACCTGCTGGATGTCTCTGACAGGCCCAAGGTTAGTGACAATGTCGTTCACTGACTCAATAAAATAATCATTGAAGTCATCAGGGCTAGAAGGTAGTCTGTGGGGCGCATAACTACTGGTAGCTGACTTCACCACATTCCATGCGGCCTTGCATTGATTTTTGGCTGATTTTATTTTATTTACATTCGCTTCTTTTTTAGCCTCTATAATACGTAACTTATAGGCTCGCTTTAGGTTAAGGTAGCTTTCTCTGTCCCTATCAGATTTAGACACTAAATACCTATCCTTCAAGGCAAGCATGTCACACTTAACCTTAGCTAGCTCTGGCGTAAACCAATCGCAACCATTGTTCAGCCTACCCTGACTGGTTTTTTTTGTTCTCGACATAGGCTTAGCTGACCTGACAGTGGAAGGGAAAAACACGTCAAAAACTGACCTTAACTTGACAAAAAATGTTTCAAAGCTGCATGAGTCACCATATTGAGTATCTGACCATGATATGTTACCAAGAGCTGCTCTAAATAAATCCATCTTATCTAAATCTATCTTTCTAACTATAAATGTATAATTAGCACGCCAAGAAATGGAGGGACTTACCTGTGTCTCAGAAGTGGACCACCTCATAAGTACTGCTGAGTGGTCTGCAACAAATGGCTCAACAACCGTACTGTTGTATTCCCAGGTGTTGAGGTTGACTGCGATGTTGTCCAGACAGGAGCTCTCTCTTGTGGGCTGGGATGTTGTAGGATAGAGACCATATGCCTTTAACAAGTTCAGTAGGACGGAACGCTCCGGAGTTTCACCAATGAAATTGACATTGAAGTCTCCCAATAAAATTTGCTTGGCGGCCTTCCCTTCCAAAAAGGCAAGGCAGTTGTCAAGTTGTTCACAGAAAGCCTTAAAGTTTCCACTTGGAGAGAAGTACACACAAATTACAATTACATCGAGACTTGGAACATGGATAGCCGCGAGTTCACAGTTAAAATCGGAGCAATATGCATCCACATTCAATACAATAAAATCCAATCTGGGGTCAACATATATAGCGGCTCCGCCACATTTAGCATTTTTCCTACAATAGGCGCTTGCTAAGAAGAGGTTGGCTACTGAACTGTAAAAATCTACCTCATCCGGGACGAGCCAATGTTCACAAATGCCAAGAATATCAATTTTTTCCTCCTCAACAAAAATTGATAATAGAGATTCCTTGCCCCGAATACTTTGAACATTCAACACACCAACAACACACAGACAATTATTTACAGATATATCCAAGTCATTTTCAGGCCTAGTCGTTTCCTTAGGATGTTCATTAGGCCTAGTTAAACTTATGTCACCATTGAGTTGCAGACAGTCCGGCCTAAAAAAGAGGCAGGAGTACGCTTGTCGCTTGATCCTCGCTTGAAAGGAACAAAAGGCCTCACCAGGACACCATTTGGCCAAAAATCTGGTTTCAGCAATGTGTCAGCACAGCTCACAGGAACACCCACTTTATACGATTTGTATGACTTGAATCTAGTGTTCAGCTCCGTACACTCAATGTTGTTTATTCCTTTATCTCCAAGGAAACTCTTCAGGATGTCGTTTGTGGTGCTCGGAGATACTCTAGACACAAAGAGTAGACTTTGTTTACAAGCTGGTTTCAGATCATAATTTCTTTCACAAACACCAATTATGGGTTTACTCTTGTTTGCTAACTTCGTCAGATCACGTTTGTTTGAGTCTTCAACACGTGAATTACGTACAACTGGTTTTGAACGCACAGACATAGAATAGGTTTTTGCCGGAGTCACATAGTTGGTTATCTGCTGAGAACGATCGCGGATCTTAACAGATTTTTCGCCATGACAGTTTGATTCCTTTGTACCATTTCCCTTGTTGTTTTCAATGTTTTCCAGGAGATTTGTAGGTTTCTGGTTGGTCGCCCCGGGCATCGCTGCCACATTGATTTCGTCCTCATTCAGTACAGCCAATGAGGAGTGGAGTAGCGAAGCTACGTCAGAGTCGTCTGGAGAGCATCTAGGAGACTGAACTGCGTCGTCTGGTCAAAATTAAAATCAAAAAGTCAAAACTAAATCTGCCTTGGTCAAAAAGTCAAAAATCTGTTTCATTATTAACACTAGTAACTCATTATAAACACTTAGTAACACCAGAAGGGGAAATAATAGGTGACAAAAATAATTAGTGTTAGTACTTCACCTTTTACCAAAATACTAAAGAACGTTCCTGACTGTTACTGAAAAGTAACTGTTCCCATCTCTACACAATGCTACTTTCATATGGTCTTATCATAAAAACCCTAAAATTACCCATCGCCTAGTACTAGTTGATAATGTTTTATTTTTTTTCGGACACAGACACCTAGAACTCTTTCTGTTGAAAACTTATAGCATTTTTGGATTCAGCGTATAAAATCTGTTTAAGAAGTGGTCACATAACTTAAAGATTAGCCCTACACCTTTATTCAGTGAAACTAGGCTATATTCCACTATCAGGCCTACCTATAAGGTTTTACTAGACATATCTCAGATCTCTCTGCTTTTTCAGAAGTTATCTGCTTAGTTTACGTTGTAAAAAATCTTAAATTTAAACTAATTGTGTAACAGTTGAAAAGTATTTCCTTTCTATTACAGAGTGGATATGCTGCTCTTATGCCAACCATCCGGGCATCCAACAGTCTGCCGAAAGGTACACAATGGGACTTATTTTGCACATCGCCTGCATTCAAACCTATAATGGATTCTCTTGCAGGCAAAACTCTGGAACTGTAAGCATTGTCTAAAAATCCTAGATCTCTAATTTACTGTGTCATTTTGTTCACAATTTTTGAAATGGAAAACTCTAGGCCTATTTATGTTTAAAGAGTTTTAACGAGTATAATATAGACCTATCTTTTTATTTTATTTTTGAACTGTTTTGTTTGGATAATCAAGTTAAACTTAAATATAAATATAAAAACCTACCTAATTTTTTATGTAAGAATATAATAAAAAATATGATTAACCTACTTTTCAAAATAGACTTTGTTAGGCTAACCTAACATAATATATTTGATAGGTAACATTTTTATTGCTATTATTGACAATTTCAGAATGGCCTGCATTCTCAATCATCAAGGCATTCATCGGGAAATCAGAAAGCGAGATTTAGAAGAAAAATATGAGTTGGTTGTCGAGACAAATGACAAAATATTGGAGAGAGTGGTGAGTAAAATGATTTAGTTACAATCTGCTAACTCATGAGTACTAAAAGCTATTGAATAAAGTTGAAACTATAAACTGGTGTATGTAGTTTAAGTAAAATTGAAATTGAAATAAAATGTACCTAAATTACTTATTGATAAATTAATTACTTATGTTGTTTTTACATTTTCTTCATTTCAATTAGCTGTAATACTTTTAATTTAAGGATTTTATTTACTCATACCTAGATATCAGATTTTATGGTCACAACTAAGTCTAATCTTTTAAAAATTAACTAACTCTAACATAAACTCAAACTCATAACTTCAATAAATAGAAATAAAAACATTTGAAAGATTTTGATTTGTTAATTAGCATACTACGATGCCACACATCCTGAATAGGACCAGTCTATGTATTGTTTAATTTGTTTTTTGTTATTTAACTGTAAATAGTTTAATTGAAAACTTTGATTTTTTTTTATTTACCTTAATTTTAATTTTTTCCAGTCTTTTGAAGTCTTGTAACACAGTTCTAGAAATAAAAAGACTGTGCCTAAAACATAAATAACATTGAGTCTAAATTCAACTCATAAATTATATGGGACAATATAGGCCTATACCATCTACACTACACCATTACACACTTTAGGCTTAACTTGCTTTGGTACTGTAAACACGTCAATTTAGCCTATCACAATCTGGGTTGAAGGGCATTCACTTGGACGAGCTGTCTGGAATACGCAGGAATCCTGTGCAGGCTGAGGTCAACATTCCTGTTAGTCACGTCAACAGACCTAGCGGAAGTTGGAATAAGGACATCTCTCAGTCTGTGAGTATACAATTCATTCTTATATTAAAGTTATTGCTAGTTTTTAAGTTAAAGAATGTACTGTAGTTGACTTGAGCTGTCAACAGATAACTCTGAGGTTAATTACCAAATTCTGTAGAATATGCAAACTTAAACCAGGTAAACCTGACAAGGTTACTTATTGTAAGCTATGGCATCTTCTATGTGTGACATCTTCTATCACACAAACCAGATAGGTATAATACTAGACATAAGAACCTAATTGAGCCTACTAGCCATAGATTATCACTATTTGAAGCATCACCTCAGGTCCAAAATTAAAACTGTATAACTTGATTCCTGATCATTTAAAAAACATCGCAAATCCAAAAAAGTTCAAAGAAAAATGTAATGTATTTTACTTTTGTCTCATTGAACAGTCTTATGCTAGTCAACCCTATGATCAATGGTCGTTTGGCTTTTTAGGCCGCTTGGAAGGAAGTGAGACAGACCAAGGACGCCCCGTCTCCAGTGGTGCTGAAGAGTGCCCGAATGACAATCAGACCTCAAGTCAAGTTCCATGATAAAATTGACAACCGGTCGATTCCTTTTGAGCCACGAATCAAGGAGAAGCCCAATGCATTGAAGCCCCTTGCTATTCTGTATGAAGAACTGCCTGACCAAGATGCATGGTAGGTTTGTAGTCTTAATGCTAGTAGTTTAAATTAGGCCTACCTATGATTTATTTAGTAGACAGACACTATAATATCCATCGTCCAGTTGTTGACAACTCGAACAAAAATATCTAATGTACAGACTTTTTTATTTTCACCACATGCTGTTAATAAAACAATATGTGATTGGAATGTCTTCCATTTGTTTTGATTTTCTCTTTACATTTCGTTGTTATTTCTTCACCAGCATGGCAACCCATAAAGCCTGTGTTCATTAAAAAAAATTTAATGTACATTTTTTTGTGCTTATTTTTTGCCTATTTTAATTTATAAAGGGATTCTGCACACTTACAGGAAAATATCTAATCTTAAGGCATATGCATAGATTTTCTCTGTGATGGACACAAGCTGAGAAAAAAACAGTTTTAAAGTAACATGCTTGCCTATTAATATATAGTTGGAGTCTTTGTGAGTTGAACCTTAGGGCAGGCATTTTGGAACATTGTAATTTCCCTAACAGAATTCCAACAAAGTTTGTTCTATAGTATTCAAATTTTTGTCTATTTTATCAAAAACTGAAATTATAATACACAACAAATACATATTAATGCAATGAGAGTTGCCCACAGCTACAGCCACCCGTATGAGTTTGAGCTGGAAAGATTCCAAGAACGTATAGACTCCCTGGATCTGTCACCCCGCACACCACAGAAGCCACTACCAGTGCAAGACACACCTCTGGCCTTTGTGGTCACTGAGCAGCAACTGGACGAGTTACTGCAAGACCTGGAGCAGCAGACAGCCATAGCTGTGGATCTGGAGGTGAGGAATAAATGTGTTGGTTCTAGAACAATCAATATTTCCATGAGGTTTCATTGTTTGTCAAGGGAAATGTCAAAAAACTTTAATGTTCTTCTTCAATTTGGAGGATAGCGATACATTAATGAGACAATAATAGGATTTTCCATACCCATGTCAAATAGTCCAACGATTAATATTGCTCATCATCTTACATGTTTCGCTGCGAAGACAACATTTTCAAAGCTTGCAACTAGTCAAAAACACATTTAAAACACAGACAACACAAACACAAAAAAAACATTAAAATGGTACGAATAGACAATAAACATTTAGATAGGCCTAGCACTATCATGATACTGATATGGTCCGGCGCGGCACGGGGTTGGTAGCAAACAGTCGTCTCCTCTACTATTATCACTGATGTTATCAGTTCTTCGATCAGCTGTTCCTGGGTTTATGATTGTATTGAAAATAAAGTGATACCGGAACTGTCATTTTTCATTAAGGATGTGGTCCTTACACTGTTTGTCAATTAAAATGTTATAAATCTCGAACTCCTCCAAGGTATCAAGTTTGCTACCTTTCCCATATATGAATTTTGTCATTAATGAGACTAGAACGTACAGCTTACATTCATGTCTCATTAATTCATCCCTAGCTTCCAACTTAGAGATCAACATGTTCATAATCAACAGTTGTGAATAAGAACTATATTGGACAACCCAGTTAGATTTGATTAGAAAGGGCTTATTGCCTGATAATTGAGGATAGGCCTACAAAGAGGACAGGATAAGCAGGCCTAAGTTGTAAAAATTGTAGGCATCCTACTTCATTCACAAAATTAACTCAAAATAAAACACAAGGAAAACGCTGAATATTTCGAGGACACTGGCGATACACTGGCAATATTCCCAACATTGAGAGTCACATTAGATTCTGGAAGCCTTTCACTGGATAATAAAGGAAGCAGTGTTGCCTACACAATTTGAATTTACAAATGAATATTTACATATGACATACAGTATGATGTGGCCTAGCACATCATTCACCAGCACATCAACATGAGAAACTTTCAAAATAAGACACAATACCTGCTCCACTAAAATGTTGTATATCAGTGCAACCATTGTCCATCTCAATATATTTAACATACCACAACCAACTTCAGGACAAGAATAAACAATCATAGGGAAGACATAAACAAGTACACAGAAGTATTCATGCTGCCAGCCACAACATACAAGATTTAAAAAGCTGTTTTCATTAAAAATAATAAGATCCTTCCCTACTTCCCTGAAACTATAACATATATTTAAAAAGTGAATTTTAAATCTCAAATTGGTTTAGAAATACTCTAATGCTGTAGACAATTTCTAGTAGACATCATTTTCAGACATTTAAAATATCCAAACCAAATATTTGTGCAATAAGAAAAATGCTTCAACTTGAGAAGACCTAAGCTTTACTTCCTTCCTTTTATTTATTTTTATAATTTTTCCAATTTTGTTGTAGCACCACTCATACAGATCCTTCCAAGGGTTTACTTGCTTGATCCAGATATCGACCAGAGAAAAGGATTACATCGTTGACACTCTGGAGTTGCGCCATAAACTACACATACTCAACAAAGTCTTCACCAATCCTAAGATTGTCAAGGTACACCTAATTACGAATTTGAAATTTAATTTAGTAGCCTTCATCCCCAATAAATATGAACTTTTAAGGCAACCTGTGATTGTTTATTGTTTTATATTTACTGGAACATTAAACATTTTCAAATCTTATCTTTACTAAAGAGGATTCCTATACATTATTTGGCAAGCATGTTTTTTGAAAACCTTTTTTCTCAGCTCGTATGCATTTCAGGGAAAATCTACGCATACTGTTAGAAAGATATTTGCCTGTAGATGAGCAGAATCCCTTTATAAATTAAAATATGCTCAAAAATAAGCACAGAAATTTAATCTAAAATTAAAAAATAACATGAGCCTTATGGGTTGCCATGCTGTTGACGAAATAACAACAAAATTTACATGGAAAATCAAAACAATTGGAAGAAATTCCAATCACATGTTTTATTTACAGCGTTTACATTACATATTTTTGGTCGATTTTTCAACCACTGGACGACATCTAGTATAAGTTAATGGCTGTCTACCCTGTTTGTTCAGAGAGTACAGCCCTACTTATACTCAAGCAGGCCTCATACATACAGAAGCAAGCTATTAGGATGGACAATTTAGTGTGTGTGTGTGTGTGTGTGTGAGGTGAGTCCCTTGCAGGTAGGGCCAAGCTCCAGTTGCACTCCCTAAGCAAACACGGTACAAAGCCTTAAAGTTTAAGCTCTTAACTTTAGCATTTGTACGTCTATAATTGTCTTCCTCTTTTTATAATAAGCCTGAGCAAACACGTTACAAAGCCTTAAAATTTAAGCTCTTTAGCATTTGTACCTCTAACTAAACTGATTCTCTAAGTGATCACAAAATCCCAATGAATGTAAGGTCAGTTTGTGCTCCCTCTCATATATTTCCAATAATTGAAAAGATCCGGATGACCTACGATTATAATCAATTACTTAAAATGATTTCAACAACATTTAAAAATTTTATAAAATACCATTTAGTGACATAGTTATTGAAAATAAAACTAACGGAACTGATTAATTTAACTTAAGAGTTTCTATTTATAAATTTGCATTAATTTAATTTCATGGCCAATAACTTTTTTTCTAGTTTTCAAACCCTATGAAGTCCCCATAATAAGTGTAATTTATCTAGCAAAGTAATTTGGACTGATCATGACTAAATTCAAGGTTTGTACTTGAGAAAATAACAATTCCTTTTTCAAACAGGGATGCTTTCTCGGGCATTACCACATGAAGATGTACAAGAAAATGTAACTACTAAAGAACCTTGATAACTAACAAGACTCTCATGGGGATAATTAATTACGACTGATTATCAAGGTTGTCTTCTTATTGAGGCTTGCAACATGTGATTAGGGGGAAAGATTCAAGGAGATCTAAAAATGCTACTTGTTATCGAAAGAGACTTGTTAACATGGGTCTTGTTATTTAGGTTTCACTGTATTATTAGTTAACATTAAGCAATGTATGACTGATATACATATCTCTTAAGCGAGTTAACAATTTTTAACCTATTGTTCTGTTTGGCAGGTGTTCCACGGCGCAGACAGTGACATACCCTGGCTACAGAGAGACTTCTCCCTATATGTAGTGAACATGTTTGACACCTATCAGGCAGCTCTACTGCTCTCCCTGCCTAGACTGAGTCTGGCCCATCTGCTCAAGACATTCTGTAACGTTGATGCCAACAAGTGTTACCAACTGTACGACTGGAGAACAAGGTTTGTATTTGTAGTCTAAGAGATGCAGTAAATGTTAGATGTTGGGTACAGTATTACAGTCTTGTCTAGTGACAACAGTTTCTGCACAAAACCCTCCAATAAAAATAAATAAGCTCTATGCATTTTACAGTGGAACCTTGATAACAAGACCCTTGATAACAAGCCTCCCTTGATAACAAGTATAATTTTTAAATCCCCTTGAATTTATTTTACCCCCAATCACATAGTGTATTGTAAACCTCGATAAGAAGTCAACCTTGATAACAAGTTTTATTTAATAATTCCCATGAGAGTCTCGTTATCAAGGTTCCACTGTACCGGTACCCTGTCTACAATTGTAAAAGTAGGCTTAGAATGTTTAAAAGTAGCAAGATGTTAGAATGTTTTGATGGAATGCAGTTTTCAAATATCTCAGACTAGGGAATGTGTTTTGGCATTGTTATAAACACGTAACACCCTGCTCTTTGCTTTTAGAATCTCAATTTTTTCAAGAAAATTTTTACGTTTAGAACTGCAAATAAGGTATTTGTAAATCCACTGAAGTTTTTTATTGAATTTTTGGCTAGTTTTGTGAGTTTAACTGCTTTGTTACAAAACAATCCAAATCGTATGATTTTAAAATATTTCCACAATTGTGTAGACCGCTAGGCACGGAGGCCATCAAGTATGCTAGGGAGGACACACACTATCTGCTGTACATCTACGACATTTTGTGGAACAAGTTACTGGAGAGGTCTAAGGGAGGAGATCATCTGCTACAGAGTGCCATCTTCCGCAGTGCTGACACTTGTAAAAAGGTATAAAATAATAAATTGGCTTGTTTATTAGGCCTATACAATATCTGATGTAGTTCTTTTAAGCCAATTCCTTAGTATAACAACTGTTACGTTTTTTGGTCAAATTGTCTCATAAATCACTCTCATTTGTTATTTATTTTTTTTTACTATCTTAATGATCAGGCATAATTTCATAGTTAGCAACATTGCCATTAAAACCTACAGTTAGGCTAGTAGAGATTTCAGACCAACTATGGGATGACAGTGGGCTTTCAGCTGTGAGTATTTTGTACCAGAAATATGTAATGAGCACGGAAGAGCCCAAGTGGCGAGCACTGGGACCTAGTCTTCATCCACCGTGAGCGTTAACTTCAGCATGGAAGGGGGCAGTGGTGGACTTTACTCCACCAGCGGCTAGTACTTTTTAAAATTTGTACTAAGACGATAGGCACGAGCCCGTTATTGTTCTTCACACTACTTCAGGCTTGATCTAGGGGTTGCGGCATAGTCACTAAAATCCATTGAAGATTTGGACTGATGTCCCGTGCTATAACCATAATCGCTCCCCAGCGGCTAGTACTAGACACTACTTAAGTGTACCAATGAATGTTTTCTCTGTACCTTACTTCTCTGTGGTCCAGTTAGGTTAAGCGTAGTAAACTACTAGCTAAACACTAAAGATCCTCCTTTGCCAAAATAGACTAAAGACTCATTGTCAAAAATCACATTCACTATCTAAACAATCTTTTATTCGCAGAGATATTGGAAGCCCATCTACAAGGAGGATAGTTACGAAGGCATGTATAGACAGAGTAAGAAGAACTTTGACAACAGGCAACTCTATGCTTTGAAAGCGCTGTATGCATGGAGAGATAGCACAGCACGGGAAGAAGATGAAAGCTTAGGGTGAGTGAAAGAATGAATGTCATTAGTGTGTTTGTTGTAATGTAATTTTACTTTCTTTTGTAAAAACCTGCTTAGAGGAGAAAATTGAGTTAAAATTTACATATATAATAATAGTTAATACAAATTAAAAGTAAAATTTATTGTGAACTGTTTCTGTGCCATCACCTGCCTGGAACTATTTTTGTGAGTTAATTTACCCATCCCTTGGTCTTAATGTATGATATCTCAATTTTTTTACTCACTTAAAGGTGCAGCATTATCGTTGTAAAATTGTCCCTGTATACTGTGAATTATTTGAATTATAGGTGAATGAAGAATCAATTTTTGGCTGGAGAAAGTTCATATTACAAGTTTTATTAAATATACATCACAAGTTTTAATATTTAACTAGTGCCAGCCAAAAATTGTTTCTTCATTTTTGTTCAATTCACTTAACAATTTAACATTTAAATACCTGTAATGCTAATGCTTGTTGTTTCCTCTGCAGGTATGTGCTGCCCAACCACATGTTGTTGCTAATCGCCGAGACTCTACCTAAGGAGATGCAAGGTATCCTTGCTTGCTGCAACCCTATCCCTCCTCTAGTGCGGCAGAACTTAGTCTTGCTGCATCAGATTGTTCTCAAGGCCAGAGAGCAGCCTTTGGTTGTGCGGGTGAGAATAAAAACATATTTTTTTTTCAAATTGCCTAGGTTGATTCAAATTAAAACTTTTTAAACTATTGTTTTGTAGATCTGCAGTTTGGTAGGCTTGGATAAACTTGGGTGAATGTTTGATAAGGGATTTGTTGGTGGAGGGAGTTAGTTGGTGTGGTCAATACTTTATTGGATTTATAGTAAATAGCTGAGGAAATAAGAGTAAGTAACATCTATCCTTCAGTTTGCACTTTTTATATGGGTATTGGTTTGTTAGTAAGATAAACCTTTAAGATGTAATAGAATTATTTTGTACCCTACAATATCCTTATTTGTCAGGTAAAACTACATGTTTCATGGCAACTGCCACATCACCAGGTTCATCCTCTGCTACTATTCGTCATACTTCTAAAATTGAAAACACAAAACACACTTTGATATGAACATTTAACGAAAAACTTTACATTAATTAGTTAGAACAACTGTCGTGGTGCGTACAAGCATTTGTTCGGGCCGGCGGCGACTCATCCTAAGTAATAAGGATATTGTATGGTAACAAACTATTCTATTTAAATCAATTCCAGAAGTAGGACAATGAATTCTGATTTAAGATTTAACTGTTGTTCCAAGTTTTGTTCCAGTTTAAGAGTCCTTGGTGGATTCATTTAAAACAGCTGCTGAAGAGTTATTTATCATCCCAAAGTATCTTCTCAAATAAACACCAAAATGAAATATACTAGGGCACTATGAGATCAGAAACTTCAACTTATTTTCACTATAGCCTAAATTAATAAATTGTTATGCAACTTTTCAAAGTAATTATTAAAATGTTAACCCTAAAAAGTTAAAACAAATAAATGCGTAAGTGCAATAGTTGGCTCCACATAATAAGTAGGCTAAGTATAAAGTTATTACTGTAATATTTCAGATGTGGAAGAGTCCAAAATTTTTTTTACCCAAAGAGCAATACCACTTTCAGGCAAGTCAATACAAGTAGTGAATATTAGTTGGCAATTTGGCTACTTTGTTTGTAATTGTAATTCTAGACAACTTGAGTGTGATAGGTTGTTAATTGCTATGATTTAAAAGCCAGTATGTGTGGCGATTGACCATCGAATGGTGTATTTAGATTGTTTGTAGTTAGTTTAATAGTTTGTTAAATAATCAGAGCTAATCAGTACAATATTCAATGTAAGCTACCATATACAATTTCATTCAAAATATTACCTCATTAAAAGCTTGGTCTCAAAACTTTAATTACTCATTTCAAGAGATAATATGTTGATTAAAGACAAATTATTAAAGGGATATAAATCGTGCAGCATACCTATGAAAATTAGATTCTAGATACTTATTGTTGTATTTGTTATAAATAAGAAGAAAAGAATTTGGTAACATTTGCATGTAAAAGTCTTTGGCCTTAAAAGTTTCCTCAGACAAACTATCCTAACTCAATCAATAAAAAAATTCACCTTAATAAAGTCACATTACCTCAAAAAACTATGTAGGCCTAGTCATTTTAATTGAAGCTACATTTCTAGAAACCTGTTTCAAGATCTTGTTGCTTTATGTCTTCAGTGAAGGTGTAATCTTTTTTTTTACTCTGACTTCAGCAATTTTCAAACCAAACTTTAAAATAAAAATAATCTATTTTAAAGCAGTAAAAGTAGTTTGATTTTTTAAAATAATAATCTCACCTTACACTCTACTTTTTTAAACAGTATTACAGACTGCACAGGGGTTTCTTTTGCAGCTTACTTTTAAATATAAAATTTTTCTAAAACGGGCAGCCCAGTGGCCTTTCTGCTGGCTGAACAGTCACTGAGTAGGCGCTCTCTTTTCTGTACTATAAAATCAACGCTGTTCAGCGTCAGATGGAAAACGTTCTTTACTTTCTGAACAGCTCTTGTAGATTATATTGTCAACCTCATAGATAGCTGTCCTTAACTACTTGAAATTGTGAAACAAGACGTCTAATGCGTTGTACTTCTAGATTGATCCAACACAATGTCATGTCCCTAGATGACCTCTGTGAACACAGAGACTAGAGCTCGGCCGGCCCAGCAGACCAGTTACAACCTAGAGGGAGCTCTGCACTGTCCTCACGACCTGACTCACAACATGGACTACAGGGACAACCTGCCTACACTACTGGACCACAACCACAACCTGGGCGAGGCACCCGCGGGACTGGTGCAAGAAAACCCGACCTCTCGGTTGTTTGACAGAATGGAGGTACTTGCACTTGTGGAACTTTGATTCCTGGAACATTGTATATTTATTTTGAACTTCAGACGGGTAGCCTAGTGGTTATCGTATTCAATAATCAGAAAGTCGCTTTTTTGATTCTGAGGGAAGTCATTACCTCTTTCATAGTTCAAAATGGACAGCTATCTTTGATGATTGGGTCTCTAATAAACGGGTATTGCTAAAGGATGAGAAAAAAGAGCTGATCTTGGTCAGTTAAGCTACCCAAGCATATCATCACATTCTACGCTTAACATATATTCATGTTTAGTCAACATTCATCCAGTTGTTTCCCTATCTCTCTATTAGGTGATAATGGTTCCAGGAAAAGTCCTAGCATGTCAAGGTAGGACAACATAAAAAAGAACCAGTAATAATGGGGTGGTGACACTTGAACTTGGATGTTTCAAACCTCAAAACTCAATATCCTGAACTTTTTTATATTTTCATCTATATTCTGACCCTTGATACCTCAATATTATAAAATCTTTGTTATCTCAAACTGACAAAACTGATAATAAAGCCTCATAAGTGTTAAAATAGGTACTTAAAAATAGATTCTTTTAATTTTTCTGATTCTGTAAGATAAAATTAAAAGAATTAGATTTTGTCCACGATGAAGCCTCTATAATTTATAGTCTGACATCTTGTTTCCTAATATTAACAAAAGTCATGTGTTGCTGTTATGTACTAGTTTAAATTAATTTTTATTACTTCCAGTCAATGCCATTTATTAATGCAGCAATGATGAAGCTTTTAAAGACAAAATTTATTATACCAATATGTTAAAGTAGTCAAGGTAGACTATTATTTGTAGCCTATTAAACCTAAATAAACATATTACATTTGATTTGATTTTGTATTTGATTAGAAAAGTAGGCTTTTCTGCACAATGATTTTTTCAATAGGCTCTTTTTGTGATTGAGAAGGTGGTCAGTGATCATGAAATATTTTAATTTGGTGTGTTATATCAATATTTTTCTATGGAAAAGACTCTCCCACTGTACAGGTAAGCTTTAGCTTCTTATAAAAGAACGAAACCAACCCTATTATGACCTATAGCTCTACCATGTATTACTTAATGTTATTCACCTTTACAGAAAGCCGAGAGCAGATTATCAACAATGAGCTTACCCAATCAAATCCACTTTATGAGTCCATTTGAGAGGTACAAGAGGATGTTGGCGTACTTGGAGGAGGAAGGGGAGAAGACAGATGAACAGAAGGAGGAAGAGATTCAAAGAGATACGCAGAACTTGTTGGATCAAGTGAGTAAACTGAAGATAACTTCAGTATAGTCTTGGTAGTCTGACACTCTTAATCCAACCCTTTTGCAATGGCATTCTATCTCATCACAACAGATACAGTTAGTTTGTACTTGCTCTCACAAAAGAGATGCTTTTCTTACATGTCCTGTCAAAACATCAACCTGAGTAGGCCTCTGTTTACATTGCATTTTGCAAGTCCTGTGTCTTTGCACGGGTTTCATTTTCTTTACAAGTAGGGTATTTCTTTTTACAAAGTGTGGTGTTCTTATTGTGTAATTTATGTTCTGTGAAATGAAATAATGATACGTTTATTGATCCCACATATATTACATAAGTGTGATACATCACCAGTCAACACATGTCAATTCAATTCAATTCAATTCAAATATCTTTATTCGTTTTTATGTACATTGTACAATAAATAGTGTCAAAATAATTACAATAAAAATAGTGTCAAAATAGTTCAACAGGATAAAAAACAGCAAAACAGGAATGGTTATAAAAACAACAAATACATTTTACATATCTAGTAAGATAATTTATCATAGCGACTGAGGGAGGTGAAAAAAATCGTCAAAAGAATAAATTGCTAAATTTATTAAAAACTCTTTCAATATTTTTTTTAATTTGTTTGGATCTGTTTCTTTTTTAATATTTTTTGGAATAAATTTAAAAAATCTATTACCTGCATAGGATGGTTTCTTTTCAAAAAATTTAGTCCTATGTGGTTGTACATTTTCGTTCTTATTTCTTAAATTATAAGAATGGGATTTTTCTTTTGGTTCCGAATATACTTCTTGTTTTTTTTCAATTATTATTGATTCATATATATACTGCCCGTAAACAGTAAAGATTTTTAGGTCCTTAAAATGCTCTTTAGCTGACTCATCACGCTGCAGCTTAAGCATGATTCTGACCGCTCTTTTTTGCTCCTTTAAAATGCTATCTAGATTACATATTTTTGTTGAGCCGTAGAGTGCTATGCCAAACGTGATATGTGAATGCACATGTGCAAAATATATATTTCTTAAAGTTTTTAAATCACAGTAAAAAGACATACTTGATAAAGCATGAATTCCGGAATTAATTTTACTTAAAATTTTGTGGACATGTTTATCCCAACTCCAGTACTGATCTAGTGTTAAACCCAAAAAATTTGTACTAATTTCTTCATCAATATTTGTCCGTTTTTTTTTAATCCGACAAGTAATAAACAAAGTTTACAAAATCTTTTAAAATTCATAGTAGGCCTACTCTCTTATTTTCTTTTATTGAAATTAGTTAATTAGTAACAGTTGTCTGAAGTATTGCATTTACATTATTTCATTATATTTCATAAAAAAATAATCATTGCAAGTGGATGGTTTTTGTTGTAATTATTTCCAGACTACTGACTTGTATTGTCCAGTAGGTCTACAAAGTAATGATTTGGAACTTTATACAGTATGACAATATAAAGTAAACTAATGAGTGCTGTAATTTTCAGTGTATGAGAGAAAGACTAAGGGCATCTGGTGGCTTGGTCAGTGAACTCACCAATATTAAACAAGAAAGTGAGGTAAGTCTTAAACGTTCATTGATATTGATATAAATTGAAATAGTACAGTACATCATGGACTAAACATAAAGTCTTTTGATTCATCATTAAGTTTGAAGGTGGCCACAGAGCCAAGGTTGAAAAGTAAGTTTTAGTGTGTAATAAATTAATTGTTATACTGCACAAAACATAGATATAGGCCTAGGCCTAATTATTTCACTTATGTTGTAGAAGTTCATAACAGGTTTACTTCGACAAGTTTGTTTTATTCATGGCTTAGTTTCATTATTTTGGTCAGCTTGAAGATAATTGCAAGTTTTATGTTTAGTTAAATCTTAGTTTTCAAAAAGAACAACTTGAAGAAAAGCCAATTTAAAAATAAAATTAACGTCTTCACGATACGGCAATAAGTTTTATTCTTGCTATAAAATAACAGTAAGCCAAATAATTTTGTAATAAGTTGTTGTACATATTTTCCAAAAATAGTTAAGCCGGATCTTGACATTTTGTTTCAGTCAACAAATCCGAGAAAGAGGTATCGATCTCAAGATTCTCAAGATGAACCTCTAAATGATTCAATGAACGTTTCTATAAAATCAGAAACAAGTCTTGAAGAAACCTTAAATAACTCCCTCAAGAAGAGGAAGCACACAAGTGAAGAAGCTAGCAGCACACTTGACGATTCAGTAATCAGCGTAAAAAGTGAAGAATGCCCTTCACCAAGGAAAAACAAGAAGAAACAAAAAACACTCAATAAACCAGAAGATAAAGAAACAGAAGTAAATATAGAAGAGGAAGATAAAGATTCACCAACCAAGAAAAGAAAAATTGAACACATCGAAGAAGATGAAGCACAACAAATAAAAACTGGCGCAAAGAAAAAACAATTCGGCGGTAAACAAGGATTTGGGAAAAAGTCGTCGGAAAGCTTCACACCTTTTGACTACAGTCAAGTAGACTACAAAGAGTACCAACAGTCTGGAACTGGACTGGCTAAAAGAAATTCTTCTGATAAATTTAAACACAAGGTGAGCTTCTTTTCTATTAGCAACACACCACAAAATTAAGGTGGGATGCAGCTTTGAAAGCAAATTTCCAGATAAATGAGTTTCATGCATGGGAATAATACTTGAACAGTTTTATGTCCTAATTTTGGGAATTGTTCAATAGAATCATCCTTTTAGAACTGTGAGTCTGATGAATAATGACAGGTAGATAGATATTATACAAGTCTAGTTTTTAATTGCCGTAGTTTCCCAGTTTAACAGTTTTGAACTGGTTTCCATAATAAACAGGTCATAAGAGATACAATAATATAGGCTCTTAGTTCTCTGAACCAATAAATGTTGGAGCCTTTGGGGGAGTAACAGTTCAATCCCTTTACAATGTATTATAAATTTAAAAACAAACCAAATTTTGTTTTATGGACATGAATATTTTACAGAATTTTCTTTTCTCTTTTTAACTATGCGTAGTTACTTAACGTAAAGCTGTATACACTACACTGAAAATCTTCTTTTTTTAATCACACAACCTTGCCACTGGATACTTTTTAGCAGTGGATTAACATGATGTTTTTTCCTTTTACAGGGAAAGAAAAAACAGCAAAACAAACTGTTCACATTTCAGAGACAGTTTGGAAATGGAGGAGGGAAAAAGAAATAAACGTGCCAAATATATCTACCAGAAGCTATTTTGTTCTCATTTTCTACAAATTGTAAATAAAGGATAAATCTTTTACACACTAAAATCATCATTTGATTTTAATTTCTAATATTTCATAGCGTAACTGAGCCGGAGATGAACAGAGTTGATGGATCAGATACTCCTTGTGAAAAGTTTTTTTTTTTTCAAGCTTATGGAATGGAAGGCCTTTTTATAAAAACTCATAAAATAACAAACACTAATTTTCTCAAAACTAGCATGAACGATTTTTATTAAAATAAAGTACGTTGGGACTTCATTTTACTCTGAACAAGATGGTATGATCATGATCCCAATTGCTGTAGGGTAAACATTTTGGTTCAATAGTTATTGCAACTTTTGTGATTTTTTCGAATAAAAACCCCATTAAATAACAAAAAATGGGAATCTGAAAAAAACACAATTTTTATTACAATTTTGTATTTTAGGATCCTTATGATTTTAAACAAAACCGTACAATCCCCATTGCTGTAAAAATTATGGTTCAAAAGTTATTGCAACCTTTGAGGTTTTCCCCATAAAATATCATAGTAGTTACTCCCACAGCCTGCCCTTGATAACGGTTGTTGTCAAGCGAATGGGAGAAAGTATAATGTGTCAGATTGCTGATACGGTTTATTTATTTTAATGCAAAAAGACCATTCTCAGTCCCTTAATTACCTCCTTCGTCACCAAGACCAGCGATGCCGGATAGGTTGTGTCAATACTATTTACATATTACTAAAAAACAAAACTTTTCTCTTTAGATAGAACTTTTATGTCATGGCGGTGGATACACCCATACTTTCAAAAAAATCTTTCAGGCTATAATATGGCCTATCTTTTAGCCATGTCTTCAGGGCAGTGCTAAATTTAGGAGCTTCCAGGTTCTTCAGTGTTTGGGGTAGACTATTGTAGATCCCGAGTGCCATGGTCGGGTATGAGTTTTTTGTTTTTGAGAGTCTGCAGAAAGGGATGTCTATTTCATTGTTACGCCTGGTTTGATGTGCATGTATGGTACTTAAATTAAATTTAACCCAAGAAGAATTCTTGTAGGGAAATTTAATAGGTTGTCTTTAACATGGATGGAACACAGAAGGATGTATTGGTTATAGACTGTTAGGACCTTTGTTTTTGTGAAGAGCGGCTTACAGTGATCCAGTCTCTTACTAAAAGTAATCACACGAATTGCCCTCTTCTGGAGTATGAGTATATCCTCATTCCTCACAAGCAGGCGCGTGTCCCCATAGCATTAGACCATAGCTCAATACACTATGGAAGAGAGCGTGGTATATCACCAGCAAATAGTGTGGACTTATCATATGGGTGAGTTTTCTAAGTAGGTGTACAACTCTTGATAGCCTTGTGCTGACCGCATCTCTATGCTTGGTCCATGTAAGTTTTTGGTCTGTTTTAAAGCCAAGAAGAGAGACCATGCTATTTTCTTGGACATGCTTAGCTAAGGTGCAGACCATCGCTTGTGTTTTGTCCTCATTTAGTTTTAGTTTATTGGCTGCAAACCATTGTTTGGCTTCATCAAACAGAACCTCCGCTGCATCAATCGCAAGGGCAGGGGTAGCACCAAACGAAAAGATAGTGGTGTCGTTGGCAAATCTGAGCGCGGTGCCATGGAGCTCCAAATCGTTAATGGCCACCAGGAAAAGTGCAGGCCCTAAAACTGAACCCTGCGGAACGCCTTGCTTTAGCTGCATGGGTCTGGACTGTGCACCGCCTAGAGAGATGACCTGTACCCTATTAGTAAGGTAAGATTTTAACGACCTGTGTGCAACACTCCCCACTCCATAGCGTTCAAGTTTATCAACTACGATGTTATGTGATATGCAATCGAACACTTTACTTAAGTCACATAGCGTCATTGACAGCGATTCAGATGATTCGAAAGCTGTTTGCACTTTACAGACAAGTTCTGACACAGCGGTCACTGTAGATCGATCTTTCCTAAAGCCGTGTTGCAGATTTGAGAACAACATGCCTCTCTTAAAGAAATCCACCAACTGGGTTTTCATTATAGCCTCCAGAACCTTACCAAACAGGTATCAGCCAGATGGGCCTGTAGCTATTTAGGTCTGATGGTTCCCCCTTTTTGTACACAGGGATGGTACTGATCTTTAATATGATCTTTAAGATCTTTAATATGTTGGGAAAGACACCTACTCTCAGACATTGGTTAAGTATACTGGCTAGTGGCTTTGCGATGACTTAAGCCTGGACACAATCCTTATTATGTCCCTTTGGTCAATAGGTTGCCATTGTGTAAGGCCAATGGTTGGGGGTACCCGTCTTACATTAAGTGAGAGATCTTGGTTTGTTACGGGGATGGTGTTTAAGACACGCTCTACATTTCCCAGCAGAAAGCTATTAAAATCATCCGGACTAGCATTAAACCTTACAGTCTTGGATGTTGGTATGCCTCTAGATTCATTTACCAAAGACCACGCAGCCGTGCAGGGGTTCTTGGCAGATTCAATTTTTTTTACATTTTCCTGTTATTTAGCTAAATTGACCTTAAGTTTATAGGAGTTCTTAGCCTTAGAATAAAGAGTATGTAAGCGTTCCTTAGATTCTTGACCTGTAGCAGCTAAATATCTGTCTCTTACAACTAAGACCAAGTCCTTATATCTAGCAAGCTCTGGAGTATACCATGCCTTAGTTTCTAGGTTGAAATTTTTGACTTTATTGGTTGATTTATTTTTATTATTGTTCAAGATCTTAGCTAGGAAATATTAATTGAAAATGTCATTTATTTTGTTGAAAAACAGTTCAAAAGCTAGTTCAGGGTCCTCACACTGCAATGCAAAACTCCAGTCAACCTGTGACAAACTATTTCTAAAATAAGGCAGGAGATCATCTCTTATATTCCTAACACTCCTAGTGTAGTCTAAATACCATGAAGGAAAAATTGGAGCATTACTCACCGAATTATCGTTTGCACTCATAACCACAGCTCCATGGCCGCCACCAGAGGCTCCGTCACCTCCACCTCATAGCTCTAGGAGTCTAGGCTAGTTGCGATGCTGTCCAGGCAACGATCTCCTCTTGTGGGGGCGATACTGGTGATGCAAAAGGCCGTGAGCCCGAAGTAGATTTGAGAACGTCTTGGTGTTGGGTCCAAGTCAACTACCTACAACTACAACTACCGCAACTACTACAACTACAAAGGTACAGTAGTCCCACACAAAGGTACAGAAACACAATGAATCATATAGTAAACAAATACCAGTATTATCTTGGTAGCTTAACCTTACAACAAACAAACTTGGCTGTGTACACAAAGTTTTTAACAACAAGACTGTTTAGTTGGTGCAACTAGTTTTAGTTTTGGATTTTAAAAAGTTACACTGATTACTTTGCTGTTGACAATTTAATTAATATCACGATACTGGTATTCACTAAACAAAATTCCTGTTAAAATAACTAATTATTAATCTATTAAGAGTAGGCACGACCACCGGCCATCTTGGATTTTGTGTCCATAACGGCAATGTTAATGGTTTAAACATATTATGGCACTGTTGATTAAGATAAAAAGTTGTAAAATATCTCATTTTAAAGCTATTGAAACCATGATTGAAACCGTGTATGTAATTTGCATTCCAAGTTTTAATTTTAATTGTTGTTATTTTGTCAAAGTACCTACATAAAACATTGACCTAAACTATGATTTTGTTCAACCTCTAAAACAAGTGTTTTAAAAATCTAAAAAGCAATTCACACGGAAAATATATTTAAGAATCACATAAAATTTTTTGCTCGGTAATTAAGCTTACGGTTCATGATTAATATGCTTCAACGTGAAAGAATATTTTTGCTGATCGGTGAGGCGCTCGGACAAAATAAAATAAAGCTAATACAAACAAAGCTAATACATATTTTACCCAAGAAAGATATTTGAACATTATAAGGCTCTACATTACTACTAGGCCTATTTAAATTAATTTTCCTCATTAAAAAACCATCTGTGGTTTACTTGTCAAACAGAAATTTGAAAAGTAAATAATTGGGTTTACTTTCAATTTTTAGGATCTGCATTTTATATTCTATTCCAAACTATTCAATATCAACAAACCTCTAGCAATCTTAGAGGATGAAGGTCCGCTCCATCAAAGCTACCAATCATCAAGGTCAATATTCTATTCAATCTAAATAAATCTTTCTGCCTTCCTCGGCGGGGTTTTCAATTTTCCATGGATACACCAAGAACTCGAGAATAGTAAGTAAATTGACTGAAGGAATTCCATCAAGGAATAGGCTTCCGGGAATGTTCAGTTATTCAAAAAGGTTTCTTTTAATTGATTTATTTTTTTCAATTACAAAATATCATTAATTTTTTAAGCAGCTTCACAAATTAATACTTGGATAATTTTATGTATTATATGTAATTTATAGATTAAAAAAAATGATACTTAAACAGATTTTAAAATTTAAATAATTTTGTTTTGGGTAGAATTTCATAAACTTTAACTTTAATATCTCCAATGGCTGTCCTAATATGTATACATTGCAAAAATTTGACAACATTCTAAAATTCGTTAGCCTATTTAAATCAAAATTAGTTAGGGCAGCAAAATTGTCAAATAAATAACTAATCAATTTTAGCCATACCACAAAGTTTCATTAAAACAAACTAAAAATTTAAATTATTTTAATTCTGATTCTAATTCACAGTTAAAAAGAGAGAGTTGCATAACAGTTGTGAGATCAAATTTAGAACGTGTCAGAAGTTTGGTAGTTTTAAACTTCTCAGCATGAAAGGTAGTGAGGGTACTTTAAAAAAAATGTCATGATATATTTAGTCTCCAGAACATTTTAAATACAATTTTTTAGACAAAGTTACTTACAACCATTGCATGTTTTGAGGTAAAGAAATCGGGGTAGAATTTCAGAGAGGAGAGGCTAGCGTTTTGGCACGGGTACCCTCCGCTACGCTCCCCGCTCCACTATGCTTTTACCCTAACACTAACACACATGATCAGCCACACGCTCGTATCATTATTGTTACCGGTACTCTATGGCTATGTTACACGCATTCATGTAAATACAAAATGT